AATAGTCTGTGGGCATCGGGGAAAGCATTTTGGAAAAACAGATCCCGGCCTTCCACCCTCGGGGGAGACCTATCCAGAGGGATGACAGACATACAGGAAGGAACGAGAGGGGAATGGAAGCCAGAGAAGGCCATTCTGAGCCTGCCGGTGAAAACAAAGGAAAAGGGGTTAAGAAGAGAAGAATAACATCCGAATGTCAAAAATTACCATCGACAGACATGGTGACTAAATGCAGCGTGGTAACCTGGATGGGTGCCTGGAACAGAAAGAGGACATTAGTGGGAAAACTGGTGCGATCTGAATGAAGACTGCAGTTCAGTTAACAGTGTGGCACCAACCATTGATTCCTTAGTCTAATCAGTGATCCTCCACTGGGGGGGATTTTGCTCCCCCGGGGACATTTGGCATCAGGGTTATTTTGAGGCGAAGGCAATTGCAAAGAAGCAGATACAAGGAAAGCTCTCTGCCCTCCCCCTATCTGTCTAACAGCAAGACATAAATTTACAAAGGGGTCCCTTCTCTCTCCTCTACAAGGAGGGACAGAAGAGAATCACCGGAGACCCTATAGACCCTATCAGCCTGGAGATGTCACCAGAGGAATCAACGTAAAGTTTACCAGCTTTTATCTCCCATTACTTTCCTCTCATATATTTATCTTCTCACTCTGCCAACCTTGGAGGCCTACACCTGCTTTCCCTTGCCCTGTCCTTTCTCCACAAAATTAGTCTTTGTTGAAAATGCGACATATAAGCCAGAGTTCTAAGCCACCACTTTGAGTTACTCTTTTTCCCTGGGTAGCTTCCACATTCAGATGAACACTACATGTTAATAAACATATTTGTTTTTCTCCTGTTAAGTGGGCCTTTTCTTATAGGAGCCCCAGAAAGAAGTTAGGTGGAAGGGACATCATTTTCCATCCCCTACGTCCTCAGGAATGGGGCTCTTACTGGGGAGCCATAGACTCAGATTCCAGCATAGGATTCAGCACAGACATTGTGAAAACACATCCTTGATGCAGCTGATGCTCTCCGCTGCTTAAGAACACCTTTCCACGGTCTCTGATAACAGCCGCTGGACCGTGTGAGATCACTAGGATCCACAGATGAGAGCTGTGGTCCTTCACCCACAGTCACGCCTTCATTACCATGTGGCTAAGACTTAACATGGGAAATACATGACCCTGTGGTAGCAACGTGAAAAAGATGTCTGCATTTAACTACAAACTCCTTGCACAATGTAGTATAAGATGACTTTATGGCTGGTCCTACCACCTTCATTCACCTCTTAGTCTCCAACATGAGCCAGAAACACTGAAAAGTTCACACATTTTAGAAAGATCTGAGCCTCTGCTTTAAGATAACTTTGAAAACAGCAAAAGCAAACAAACAAGCAAAAAACATTAAGCCAGAGGAATTAAACACCTCCCCTGTCTCTCACATTTTTTTCTTTTCTCCAGCGTCATCTACATCTGAAACAGATACCTTTTCCTTACGGAATTCACCACGCTATTATCACTTCCTCTTTCCCAAATCACGTCTACATTCATTTCCTGCAGACAGCTCAGGCGAGGACCAACGATGATTGCAGCAAGCTGAGTCCCCACCACCCACCGCCGTGTCCGGGGTTCCAGGTAAGTCACCTCACCGAGAACACCGGGTCGGCCACGGGCAGAGTCGGAACTGAAACGGAGATGGGCCCCACTCCCACCCCCAGGGTGCTTCTGCCCGGTCCCCCTGATGCTCACTGCTCTCATTCGTGGGGTGCTCTGTAGTTTCCAATGTACAATTCCGGCCGTTGCCCCATCAGCCCGCTACAGGCCTCGAGTCCATTTCTCTTACCTCACATGGCAAACCTGAGCGAGTGGCCAATTAGAATGACTGTTCCCTAAACAACTGTGGGGACTCGACCCACTCATGCCATCGAGAGGGTGACTCAGAAAGCAGGACCAAGTTCTTTCCCCCACAGTGACAGCGGGTGGCTGACATGAGCAACCTCGGGAGACCACAGGCTCTGGGCAGTGATGGGACGGCACATTCAAGGTCATGGGGGGCGGGGGACCCCATCTCATCCACCTTGACCAAGAGCTAAACAAGTCAAAACACCTTCAACATATTTCTGTAACATTCTTCATACATTTTCTGGGGGGGGGGGGGGGGGTTGGCATTACATTGGACCATCTGAAGGACAATAAAGTTGCTCCATGCCAATACTTGCTTATTCTGACTGAGTTCTTAGAGGGAACCAGCATTCTGAGACCTTTTCCCCTCAGCTTTACAACCACGTGGGGGTGCTGCAATTTCCCTTTACTTTCCCCCACCTACCTCCGGACCGGGAATGTCACATGGCGCCCCACCCTCTCCGAGCAGAGAGGCTTCGAGTGTGGCCCCAGGGAGAGGTGGCCTGAGAAAGAAAAGGCAGCAGGCCTTTGCGTGACCCTGACATCAGCAAGGCTTTGACATCAGCAAGGCTTTGACATCAGCAAGGCTTTGTTGGGTCATCAGGATGACCTGTCCCCCCACTGGCACCCAGGTCCTGAGCAGGTGCTCCAGGCCCCTGGCTCCCGGCTGGGCGTGCCGCGGTCAATGCCCATGAATCGGACTTGGATCCTCACTGAGTGACAGTGCTGTCGAGAAGAAGGAAATGACCCTGACGACACAGAAAACGCATCACATGAAGAGGCCATAGAATTCTGGGAGTCAGTGCTTGAGAGAGGGGGCTGGGAGGGTGCACTGAGCGGTCAGCGCAGTGAGCGGAGGATTGCTGAGCAGGGTGGTCCCCAGCCACAGCTGCAAGGAGTCGGCACAGTGCGGCCGTGGTTCTCAGCCAAGAGTGGTTTGGTCCTCTCCCCGACCCAGTGCGTATCTGGAGACATTTGCGTTTCTCACATGGGGGGGGGGGCGCATGGTGAGGGCTAGGGATACTGTACACATCCCACAGTGCCCCACAGAAAATAATCGGCCCAAATGCAGACACTACCCGAGCCTCGAGGGAGAAGGCAACAGAGGGGTGGGGGCCACTGAGTCAGCTATGGCCAAGGTCAAGGTGAGCTGCAGATATAATCCAAAATGTTCCCCTTCAATAGCAACCGTAGAAATGCCAGCTTCAGCGCAACAAAGCATGCATTCCCCCTGGCACCAGCCATTGGTTTCTTAGTCTAGACCAGCGATTCTCCACGGCGGGGTTCGCTCCCCGGGAATATTCGCAACGGGGTCCCTGTTCCCTCCTCTACAGGAAGGACAGAGATCCTCTTGGCCAAGCCCACGTAGAGAGGGTCCTCAGGGGGTTTCTCCGGGAGCCTAATGTACATGGCGCGTCAAGAACCTTACAAAGGCGGCTGCGCTCTGATCGCAATATCCCACTTCAAGGATTTTTTTTTTTTAAAGAAAATCAGCAGCATGTAGAAAAGTCTCCTGCGCCAAGTTTCCTCATTACTATCATCTCCAACGTGAAGAACGAGTAGCAACGTGAAGGCCCAGCAGTGAAGAAATCACCAGGCTTTGATCGGTCCGTGAGGCACATCATTTGGAAGTCCATAAACATCATCTTTGCAAAGTCCTGCTGATATCAGGAAACATTTATGACACGGTGCCAAGTGGCAGAGACCCAGGGGGAAATGACATGTGCAGCTGGAGCTCCGCTCTCTCACAGAAAGAAACAGACGTGCGTAGAGAGAGAAGGGGAGCAAGTTTACTAAAAATGAGCCATGCTTACTTCAGGGCACTGCGCTTCTTTATTCTGCCCTTTGCTGTTCTCAGGGCCTATCATGTGTTAATGTACGATGCTCTCAGTTGCCTCTGCCTGGACCTGCTGCCTTCCCTTCCCTTTCCACCCACGAGACCATTCCCAAGACCACTGCCCAACAAAAGCCCATAAATACCCATCTCCGAGTTGAATTCCCAGAGAATCCGACATGCAGCACTGCAAACAGGGTGGAGTTTACCCTGGAGGACGGATGCCTCAGAATCAGCAAATTACAGCCTATGGGACCAACATGGGCCCCCACCTGTTTTTATAAATAAAGTTTTATTGGAACATAGCCGCGCTCATTCGTTCGTTGTAACAGTGGCTACTTTTGTTCTACAACAGAAAAGTTAAGTATTTGCTACAGACACCATCTGGCCCCCCCCAAAGCCATACTTAATCATTAATATCTGGTCCTTTACAAAAAAAAAAAAGCTTGCTGCGGGATTGGTGTGGCTCAGTGCTTGGTCGTTGACCTATGAACCAGGAGGTCAGGGTTCAATTCCTGGTCAGGGCACAGGCTCGGGTTGCAGGCTCCATCCCCAGTGCGGGGCGTGCAGGAGACACCCGATTGACGATTCTCTCCCATCACTCATGTTTCTTTCTCCCTCTCCCTTCCTCTCTGAAATCAATGAACACATATTTTAAGAAAGAAAGCTCGCTGGCTCCGGATCGTTAAGACAAATCTCGTTTGTAAGGTAAGGGCTCCCCAGTGTTTTCCAGCCCCTCGTGGGACCAGAGGAGCTGAGTCTAAGGCAGACTGTCTGGTGGGCTCCACACAGACACGTGCTGGCTGTGGTCGCGCCTTCCCGCGGGCGGTATACGTGCTCCATGAACTAAACCCCACGGGCCCCTGCTGGGCGGAGTCTAGTGTCGGCACAGGGCAGACACAGCCCTCCGCTGGGACCTGGCAGGAATCCCTCTGTTGCACACACCAAACAAGCCATTACAAGACTAATGACATGGCCATCGGCTGCTAAAATAGTCGCTGCTAGTGTTCGTGGAGAGAAATGGCGCGCCTTAAGGCGCGTAAGGGAAATGAATGCAACACGATTATCGTCATCGGTCATTAGTGAACGCTGTAGTTCATTATTAATAATGATGTATAATAGGATATTGTAAAAATTAAGTTACAAAATTTTTATGAAAACGTTTCTTACATACCATTATATTGGCTGGGCTGCAAAAATATTTGTTGTGGGCCACATGTGGCCCTCAGGCCACGAGTTTGGCATGCTTGGTGTAGATTATACTAGGACAGGGCGGATGGGGTGGTTACAGCGTGGGAGCTGTGCCTATAAATCTCAGGCACAGAGTCCACAGCGTGGCCACGAAGGGCTTTCTTGTCACCTGGGAAGAAATACGTCCCATTGCACAGCAGATTCTGAGGGAGAGCCCCCCAAAGGAAAGGGATGTATGTGTGTGTGTGTGTGTGTGTGTGCACGTGTGTGTACACATTTGTGTATGCAGGGTGGGGCAACAGTAGGGTTACAGCTGTGAGTATGTGAAACGGTTTATTCTTGTATTATTATTTAGTAATCATTGTGCTATTCTTCATGGGAACAACTATAACCCTACTTTTATCCCACCCTGTAGTTGAGGCGTGGGCCCCCCACGGGAGCTCCAGGTTCTGCAGCTTTGAACTTCGGGGCCAAGGGACGCAGAGTCACACAGAATCTCTTGCCCTCACACATTTCACTTCGGGCAACTAAAGCGGAAATTCCTTCAAGCCTGAGGGGCTCTTCGAGAACCCAAATGCACGCCCGTCTCCCCCCTGCACTCCGCCCGCACGGCTCAGGCGTCCCGACGGTCTGATCCCTCTGGGAGTGTGTCACCAGGCCTCACAGATCCCCAAGCCTTGGCTAGACATAAACCTGTCAAATTAATTACATCCTTTCATGTCTGCTCGCATTCCAGCTTTGACATATTTCACAGCCACTTTTGTTAATTAACACAGCGTTAATGGGTGGGAGTCACACCGGGAAATTATCACGCACATGCTGCCCTTCCTATTTTACTGCCGTTACCTTTAAATATCGTCCCCAAGTGGAAAGGCGCTCGTTCAGACGCCAGAGTCTCTCGCAGAGAGTAAAGCAGAAAATCGAAGTTTGCACAGAGAGAGAAAGAGCTTGGCCCCTGGCTGCGGCCCCGTTCCCTCCCAGCCTCCTGGAGCGGGGGTGGGGGGCGCCCAGCAGGCCCGGGGACCCTGCCTGCCACGTGACATGGGAACAGCAGCACTTCCTGGCCAAGCTGCTCCACGAAACACGGCCGAGGAGACAGAAAACTCGGCTGCTGTCCGGCCTGGAGAGGCCCAGCTTTGCTTCCTTTAGAAAATGTCCTGTAATTATTACACACACCCACACACACTCACACACACACGTGCACACACACTCATGCACCTGTGCACTCACACACACATACACTCACACACATGCACACGTGCACACATGCTTGCACATATTCGCATGCACATGTGCACGCCTGTTCACACACATCCACACATATGTGCACACACAGGCACACACATACACATATGCACACACACACACACACATACACACACGCTGTATTATGGAGCCAACCCACAAATATCAGCCATCTGATTGACAATGAAAGGGCAGGCTCTGGGCACCGTGGGATGTGCAGACGCTGGGACCAGAGACAACCTCTGGGGCGGGGCCCTGTCCTCGCCTGCTCTGGGAGGATGCAGGCCCACCCGACCCTAAGGTGACCTTGGCCACAGTTTCTGCCTCTGCACATGCTCTGGACGTGTCGTTGGAACAAAGCTTGAGGGGCCAGCCTCTCCCGATCCCAGGATCTCATCCCGGGGAGCCCGCCAGCACAGACACCGCAGGGTGCGGCCCGTGGACTGAGAGCTGCTCCTGGGAGGGGGTGAGTGAGGGAGAAGCTCGCCGTCCACCTGGCCGGGCATTCACCCTGGCACCTGGCCTATGGGGGGGCGGGGTGTCTGTGGTGGGGCCCCACCCGGGAAGCGAGCGTCACTCACCTGCCCGGTAGCTCCAGCCGGGAATGTGGATGGACAGCTGGTTGGCGTGAGCACTGGTGTGACCGCCGGTGTGACGAGGAGTCCCGTGGTCCCCCTTCCCTTTCCTCGCAGTGATCTGCCGAGTCCCCGCATCTGCGAGTTCTGTGCTTTCCGTCGGAGGGGGGCCACTCCAAGGACATGTGCCAGCCCCCAAGTGCACCTGCCCCAAGGAGGGGTGCAGGGCGGGGGCCCAGCGCGGGCCCTGGAGGCCGGAGCCCTCCGCCAGCTGCGGCTTCAGGCTGCTGCTGATTGGCCCTCCGGTGGCTGGGCCGTCTGCCCCATCTGGTGTCAGTCTGTGAGAACTGCAGTTTAGGTTGAGCGACAGGACGGCCCTGTGCGTTTGGGGGCCGGCCAGCTGAGTTGGCTCCATGGGGATGGAGGGGGACCCGTCCGGAGAGCAGGTGGCGTTGGGGCACCGCCGCGACACCCTGAGGTGCACACAGGAGCTGAACAGCAGCGGGCCCTGCCCCGACCGCGGGCGGCCTGGGGAGAACCTGTCCTCCCCGCGGTCCACGCTGGCCACCCAGTACTGGTGTCCATCACACAGCCGTGCGTGGGCCTCCGGGAACCCCAGCCGCATCACAGGGCTGCTTCCGGAGGGTTCCGTGCAGGCGAGAGGTCCGTGGTGCCGACCTGGGTCAGCGCCGCTGGCCAGAGCAGGGGGGCCCCTGAGCTGAGGGTCCTGGGCCCGGCACCGGCTGCACAGCGGGTCCCCCCCGGTGCCCCACACCAGGGCCCGGGCTGGGGGGCCCACACGCCGGGCCGTGATGGTGATGGATGCAAACCCCTTCTGGGGGATGCTGCCCGGCTGCTTCTCCTCTTTGGGGGTGAGCGCAGGCTCCGGTCCTTGCACCCCGGCCGGTGGCTGAGGTCCTAGCTGGCCGGGAAGGAACGCGAAGGCCCTGTTGATGGTGACCCCGCTGCGACTGGCCAGAGCGCGCTTCCCGGGCCACGTGGGCGGCTGAGCGGCAGCGCACAGCGCGGGCACGGCGGCCCCCTTCTCCTGGGGCTTGTTCTCATCGATCAGCTGCGAAATGACTAAGGACGAAATCATTTTCGTGTTTTGTGATGTCAGCGTCTCCTGCAAATGGAAAGAGATCGGAGTTATTCCAGCCACTTGTTCCAGCGTCCGCCCCAGCGCCGGCGCCGCGGCTTCTGTGCACGCAGCCCGGACCTGTGTGCGGACTGACTGCCGTTCTGGGCGCATCCCGCTGCCTGCGGAATCCTCTTCTCCCCGGGTGTGTCCGCTCTGTTTATTATGGCGTTTGTGGGAGGGGAGCGTCCCATTTCCGTAATCACAGGCCCCGGAGCACTGGGTCAGACCCACGGCCCACAGGCTGGGCTTGACAATCGTGAACTATGGGCACACGGTACAAGGTTGGCATCTAAACACACTTCGTGAACAGCACCCCCCTTTTTTAAAAAATATTTTTATTGATTTCAGAGAGGAAGGGAGAGGGAGGGAGAGGTAGAAACATCAATGGTGAGAGAATCATCGATCGGCCGCCTCCGGCACGCTCCCCGCCACTGGGGATCGAGCCCACAACCCGGGCCTGTGCCCTGACCGGGAATTGAACCGTGACCTCCTGGTTCATCGGCCGACGCTCAACCACTGAGCCACATGGGCCGGGCTTCCCCAGACTCAGCTTTGGCAAAAGCCCCAACCAACCAGCCGGGAGGAACGAGGACGGAAACATCACACTCTCGGCTCCTCGCTGCACGGCACAGGCTGGTCTGGGAAGCTCTGGTGACCACACCGTTTTCTCCTGAGACCCGTTGAGTAATGAAGCATAATGCCCGGCCTCTCGGAAGTCGTCTCTGTGCGCGAGGGCTGCCGGGACGAGGAGCCGCAGTCTGCGGGGCGTGAGCAACAGGCACTGGGTCCTCACCGTCCTGAAGCCTGGACGCCCGAGGTCAAGGTGTCGGCTGGGTCCGTTCCTTCACGTCGTCGTCTGTTGGCTGGTGGGTGCCGTCTCCCCGTCCTCACAGACCTCCCCCTGGCCTGTCTGTGCCGTCTCCCCGTCCTCACAGACCAAGTAATGAAGTATAATGCCCGGCCTCTCGGAAGTAGTCTCTGTGTGCGAGGGCTGCCAGCACGGGGAGCCGCAGTCTGCGGGGCGTGAGTAACAGGCACTGGTTCCTCACCGTCCTGAAGCCTGGATGACCGAGGTCAAGGTGTCGGCTGGGTCCGTTCCTTTGGGTCATCATCTGTTGGCTGGTGGGTGCCGTCTCCCCATCCTCACAAGCTCTCCCCCTGGCTGTCTGTGCCCATGACTTTCTCATAAGGACGCCAGTCACATGGGATCCCGGCCCCCCAGTGACCTCGTTAACCTCACTCACCCCTCAAAAGACCCCATCTCCCAGTACGGTCACCTTCAGAGGTCCTGGGGGTTAGAATTCCAACCTATACATTTGGGGGGACACAGTGTAGCCCATAACAGCCTGCAGTACATCCCTTTGTGTCCAGTTCATCTTCTGGGGCGGGGAAACCAGGAAAGAGAGGGGACTGGGGAGCTGTTTGAGGTTCCCAAGGCGGGCTACTAATTTTTTTTAAATGTATTTTTATTGATCTCAGAGAGGAAGGGAGAGGGAGAGAGAAAGAAACATCAGTGATGAGAATCATTGATCGGCTGCCTCCTGCACGCCCCCTACTGGGGATCGAGCCCGCAACCCGGGCATGTGCCCTTGACCGGAGTCAAACCTGGGACCCTTCAGTCCACAGGCCGACGCTCTATCCACTGAGCCAAACCGCCTAGGGCTGGGGCTACTATTTTTAAAACCGGGCAGGTTTTCCTTAAAAAGCAATCACACGCTTTCCATCAAATACCTTCCCCAATTAGGCGATGTCGGCGCGTCACCCCATCTGTCCTTCCCACTGGGTTCACTGAGCGTGGCTTTGAAAACAGAAGCCTTTTATCTGAAATAAAACGAGCTGATGTGAGATTTCGTTCGAAAGGCAGGAAACCAGCTTGGATAGAATCAGGGCGCTCGAGGTCCGAGAGGTGGGATGATGAGCTGGGTGAGTCTCCTGCTTTGCTGGCCCCCCAGGCCCTGGCCGGCAGCGCCCACTCCCGGGGCCCATGTTCTCTCCCCTAAACGCTGCTTGGAGATTCTGATTCCTCGTCAATGTCTCAAACGTGACTTGGCAGAGCTGGTGACAGCTCTCCCCGCTTCATACACTTGATTCACTGTTTCTGACTGTATATTCCGGCCCCAAGGCATGTTGCTCAGAAGGGCGCCGATTCCTAAATGGAAGGAAGGAGGAGCGAGCAGGAGGAGGTCGGAGAAAGCGGGCCCTGGGCCACCGGGGTGAGGGCGCTTCCGTTTCCGTAGCCATTTATCTCCCCAGAGGATAAGCATCTAATTGAATCTATAGCGTTGGCATCTACATTTTCCTCCAGGAGACAATCCCCTGCCCCCTTTTCCATCGTCCTCTGCAACCTACAGCTCTATTTGCCAGGTGGGCCTCTGCCCCCGCCCCGCCACAGTCACCTCCACATCAGCCGCCAGCCTGGGGCTGCCGACACCACCGGGTCACCCCTCAGCTCAGTGGCCTTTCGTCCCGACTGTGAGAGAATTTCCAAGCGCCTGAGCTCACTCCGGTTTGTAGCAATCGGATAAGAGAGTTAAGATCGATGGGGACACTGGAGCTTTCCTCCCTCTCCATCCAGAAACTTCTTTCCAGTTTGAGGCCACGGACACTTTCTGTCCTGGCTGTTCAACTGCCGCTCCCTGTTCTCCACCTGCAGCATGCGCATGGCACCGTCTGTCTCCAGCTCTGACCGGGGATTAAAACCGAGATGCCGGCCCTGTACCTCCCGTGACGCAGCGAGTTTACAGCCTGTGGCGGAGATGAGGGAGCAGCGGTGACAGCCTGCACGCTGTCAGCGGGGACGCACAGGCCTCGGTCATCGCGGCGCGAACGCGGCGTCTGGCTGAGCAGAACAAACGCGAACACGCAGGAGGAGGCCGCGAGCTTCATGGTCGCTGCGTTCTGCTGACGATCCCAGACGTGAGAAACATCCGTCACCCCGGGAAAGGCAGGTTTCATCTTTGCAACATCAGCTTGGAGAGTTTTAAGGGCAATTTGATCATTTGTACGTACGGTTGCTCCATAACCCCAGGCGAAAGGAGGTAACATTGCTACTTCGTAGTATGTGAAAAGGGGAAATGGAGAGCGTGACTCTACAATGAGATCGAATGCCACCCACTCAGGTAAAACCTCGTCCGGCCCCTCATTCATGCCGCCCTCCCTCCGGCCTCTGAGTCCGCGGGGAGTGAGTGGCTGAGCTACGCGTCCCTCCTCCGTGCAGCTGTGGATGTCCCCAGACTTGGTAACAACTGAACGGGCTCGGTTCTCACACTCGCCTGTGTCCTCGTTTCCCCAGGAGAAGAGAGAATCGCGATTGTCTGTGAACTTCCCAACCCCCCTCGAGTAGGGGAGACTGAGGAACCAGCCCAGCTTTCATCGGCCTCTTCCCGCAGCCATTCTCAAGGAGCAAGGAGCCGCTCGGGCACAAACATGGAGCCCGCCGTGGAGGAGCTGAGGAGGGCTCTGTGCTAACTGTGAGGACACACGAGACGCTGTGGGCAGCCCCCCGTCACCCCGCCAGTGAGGGCCTGGAACGGTGTCAGGACCCGAGTGAGTGCCCAGGAGCGCGCGGGGAATCGGGGGCCTGGGTTCTAGTCCTGGCTCCACCATCGCTAGCACGGTGACGACGGCCCATCTAAGGAACCATCTCGGGAATCCATTCATTCCTACGCCTGCCCTGCTTGCCCCACACCTGCCCTGCTTGCCCCACACCTGCCCTGCTTGCCCCACACCTGTCCTGCTTGCCCCACACCTGCCCTGCTCGCCCCACACCTGCCCTGCTCACCCCACACCTGCCCTGCTCGCCCCACATCCAAGATGACGTGCACATGTTACTTTCTGTGAAACGCAGATATGAGACCTAAAGCATCTCATGGCTTCTGTGCAGAATCGATGTGTGATGACAAGTGACAGCAACACTGAGGCAGACGGAACCCCCCCGGCCCTGAGCCAGCACAGGCATTGGGCCAGCCGGGCCCACGCTCACCGAGTGTCCTCATTCACCGAGGCAGCCCCCACCTCCTGCCCAGCCGTGCCGTCCATGCACTGAGGGCACAGCACAAAGTCGGGGGCCGGGTGGGACGCGGTGGGGCTCCTGCGGGTGATGGCTCGGCATAACGGTTAACGAGCAGGACCGAGGCAGCAGCTGCCCCGCCCGACTCCCGCCTCAGTGGCCCCCGGAATCAGACCCCAAAGTCCCAGGGTCTCCAGCTGTGTTTGGGCAAGTTACTCAGCATCCTTGGTTTCTTGCTGTGACGTGGAGATAACAGCAGTGCCTACCCCTAGAGTTCTTGAAAAAGATTAAGTGCCCCAACTAGCCCCTGGCACCATGCGCAGAACCCGGCAACGTGCAGCTGACAGCTGCTGGGACGTGCCGGCCTCCTAGGCGGGGAGGAGGGAGCCTGCGGGAGGGACAGGCAGGGGCTGTGCATGGGCGTCCTGCAGCCGCTGTAACAAATGACCACACACTGGGGGTTAGGCATTTTCTCAGAGTTCCGGAGGTCAGAAGCCCGACCTGGGTCCCACTGGGCTCACGTCAAGGTGAGGATCCTTTCCTGGCCTTTTCTGACTTCTGCAGGCGCCTGCGTTCCTTCACTCGTAGCCCCACCTCGCTCCAACCTCCGCTGCCTTTGTCACACCTTCTCTCCCCGACCCCTGCCTCCCTCTGATAAGGGCCCTTGTGACTAGATCCATGGGGTCATCCAGGGCCAGCTCCCCATCTCACGGTCCTGAGTCACACTGGCAAAGTCCCTTCTGCCGTGGGAGGTACGTGTCCTCTGTCCTGGGGTTGGGACGTGGACACCTGTCTGGGACCCGTCACTGCACCCATCACCGATGAGCTGGGAGACAGAGGAGATGCCGTGGATGAAATGTAGGGTCTTTAACATGAGAACTAGAGAGTTTATGTAGCAGCACGAGAAAGAACTGACAATGCAACACTTACCGAAAGAAAGGAAACAGAAACTTATGAACCCCAATGGCAACATTAA